GAGCTCCAAAACTTGCGCCCCCTCATCCCGGCTCTTCGTCGGACGCTCCCAGATCAATCCAAGGAGCTGGAGGAAGGCCACGGAGGAGTAGAAGTAGGCCTGGTTCGAGCAGAACAAGGCCACAGAGAAGAGGAGACCCAAGGGTGCCATGTACTTGGTCAGCTGCCCCAGGTTCTCCCGGACCTGACAGACTGGACTCAAATTCGTTCAATAGTCCCAAAACCAGAAGAAACAAAGACAAGGATATGTTTTAAGGTATGTTCAGGCCTTTTTGTCTCATGTCTAGAGGGTGTCTCATATATTCTCCCCTAGAGTTTTCCCTCTTGCTCCATCGAACACGGCGTCTTGCGATCGATCCCAACTTGGTCCCAGCACTGCTCCCTCCGGCGCTCCCCTTCGCCTTGGCCATGGAGGGATAGATGGAAGGTGCGGCGGTAAAGAGAAGCGTGGAAAGTAGCATGGTGGTCGCCATGTGCACGGCTGTGAGGTGAACAGCGTGCGGGAAGCGGTCCTCCTTCATGAGGTACTTGTTGAAGGAGATGAGCCCGGCAGAGACCGCGATGTAGGTGACGCCGATGAGCAGCACCTCCAGGCACTTCAGCATCATGCTGCCGGAGCTCTCCGTTCCCGATGGCATTTTTGTTGGTTCGCTTAGTCGGAAACGTGAATGGCGTGACTTGAGCCGATAGCTGGGACAGGGGTCGGGAAAACGAAACGGCCGCTGCTTCCAACTCTGAGCGAATCACCCAACCAAAAGGGGAGCCTGCTGTTGCCTGTTGGGTCCATTCTAATGACAACGGAGCGCAGCAAAGCCCACAAACAGCATCACGCAGCTCGCCGATTCTCTCCCGACGAATCCGTCGCCACTTTCAGAGCAGAACACCGATACCAGTTGTCCCAAACTGGTTTCGGTTTTCTGCTCTGAGCTTCCGGATGCGTCCTTTTGAGACCAATTATCTGAATGCAATTAATTAGTCTCAAGAGGACATATCTGGAAGCCAGGAAGCCGCGGTTCTGGACAAGCTGCACTTATCTTTCTTCTCTTTCAGGGACTCGTATTCATCCTCGAAGAACTTCTCCATGTCGCCCAGGAAGTTGCCGATGGTGGGCACCTGCGCGAGGCGCCCCAAAAGAACGCCCCCTGAATTGGTCCTGTCAAGGCCACTTTGCTTTCCCGCTCCATTTACTTTCCGACGTGGCTGTATCGCCAGCGTGTTGCCAGCACATGATTTGCTAAGCCAAGTTTTTGGTATCCAGCCAGCATGAAAGCTGGCATACTGGCAACATGGCAGTCATGCAGGATCAGTCACGCAGGACCATCATAGATATGTGGCCTTGAACACCACCATGAATGCTGCCTGGACTGGATCCTGCCTGCACGGCGTCATCCATGGAACAGGTGGTGATCTGAGCGAGAATGCAGCCGACCACATGCAAATGGGGGTGTCGTTGGGAAAGCTCTTTTGGTTTGAAAGGGAAACAAAAAGGAGAATCTGCATTGGGGTCCCCTCGTGTGCTTGCAGGTGCTGGCACAACTGGCCCGGACACATGCACCAGTGGAGCAATTCATTACACCGCATGTTTGACGGAGAGGGAAGTGCCAAAAATCCTGCGGCGCCAGGCTGCCACGGAGCGGCCCAAATTGATCGAACATAACATCCACTACCCCCCCCCCGTTTAGGTAGCCTTCATATAATGGCTACATAGGGCTTATTTACTCCATTTGGCCTTGGGAGTAGCGGTTTGGGGTAGTGGACGCCATCTTAATTAAAAGCAAGCAATCTTTGACGAACCTCCGTCAAATGTCAGATGTGACTTAGCTGAAGTCGACCAACCAATTAGCTTCAATAACAGCGTGCACACGTCCCTGAAACAATTACAAAAAGCAGCTGATCAGCGCAAGCAGCAGTCGGCTTGACAAAATTGATGCTGCGCAACAAGACTTGCAGTGTATCCCAAGACCGGCTGCAACTCATCAGAAACCCTTCAGCCCATCGCCGCAGGTGGTCTTACACGATGTTCTGCTTGCTCACCGCCCCAATCCCCAACGCTTCTCGCTTCGAGGTGCCGGGTTGGGGAAGACCGCAGCCGTCGCGTAGGCGTCGCACAGGGTCTTGATGTTCTGCAGGTAGATGTTCTTGGCCAGGATGCAGGTGGCATCGTAGTCCTTCCACACCGCATCCTGGTACTGAAGGCAATGCGTCAGGGGCTGCAGTGCGATTCCGTGATAGAAAAGGACGACATCTCGCCCTCAAACACTATGGTGCGAGTGGCGTGATGGCAATACATCGGTTCCGCATTTGGACATGGACGACCTGCACTCAGTAATGAGACTATTAATACCTGGGGGGTGTCCACCCAAAAACAAATGTGAACTCCAACTACAAGGACACCTTTCAATCAAAATCAGGGGGTTGCCATCAAATCCGAGCGTTACTTCTCTAGGCTTATGCTCCAAAACCGGCCGATTGAGGTGCCCGGATCCCCCATGTCGCTCCTGCTCGCTGCGGCAGGTCTTGTGGCTGGCCGACAGCGCCTTCAGATCCTGATGGAAGGCCCGTTGGCAAATGGCGAAACCTCGGCCTTGAAGCGATTCGAGATTTGCTCTGCGCAAGAAGGACAGGCACTTGCCCTTGCCCTCCAGCGATCAGCTGGCCGACGCACACAACCTATTTAAAGGGAGGGATGGGGCATTGTCAGTGAGCCTGATACCTCTGTGGCTCAGTGAGCGACACGTGGCTGGGTCAAAAATAGGTACCCACAAAGGACCCATGGTAAATGGAAACATGGGCTAAAACCTGCGGTCCCCTGGTGGCTTACTTTTAGACCCATACCCATGTGGAGCTTACTGGAAAGCACCGACTTGCCGCAACCGGCAACCCCAACGCGAGCCCATGACGCAACATGCGCCTCGTTGAAGCTGGTGTCGTTGGGGTGGAGGCAGGAGCTCAGGTTGCCGAAGCCCGCATCCAGGTCCGCCTGGGTCTGCTCCTTCCGCAGCAAGATGTTCTTCTTCATGGTGTTGTCCAAGAGCTCCTTACAATGCGCAGAAGCCAAACCGGCGTTGCACTCTCTCCCTCTCTCTCTCTCTCTCTCTCTCTCTCTCTCTCTCTCTCTCTCTCTCTCTCTCTCTTTGACTGTGGCCCGCCTAAGCAGCGGCAAAGCTGAGTCACTGTCATTGCGGCAGCATGCTGGAGTGTGAAGGGGCACCGCTGGTAAAGGAAAAAACCGGTGAGTGCAAGTTTAGATTTCCGGCGAATGCTCTGAAACATTGACCTGCTTCAAACCATCAAGCACAGGCCATGGGAACACAACATCGCACCAGAGCTGGTCCTCATCCAGCTGTTGAGGCCTGTTGGGCCCGCTTCCGCTCAGGAGCTTTCGGGGGACCTTTAGGGATTCAAAGGTCGAGGTCCTGAATCTGGTCAAGGAAGGCGGTCAGGTTGGCGGCATCGGCGTTCGCAGACGTCTTTGACCTAGTCACGCACCACCGCTTTTTCCTTTCTTTTTTTCTCCTTTCTTATCTGGCTCTTTGTTTGCGAGGGTTGTGCCAAGTCTGTCAGAGCGCTCTTGGTCTAACAAATCCATCTGAGTCACACGTTCTAAGCCGCAGCTGCCAGCAAAACAGCTTGCCGGGCGTGCTGCATCTGCAACTTAGGGAGCTGAAGTTAACCTTCACTGGCCAGGGCGCAGCTTGGTCTGCGCCATGTTCAGCACCGACTTCTCGATGTTGGTCAAGGTGGCCGTCTCTGGCGTCATCGTCTTCCTCGGAGCCATGGCTTGGGAGCGAAAAGTGCCAAGCAGCTAAGGTCAGAAGTGCAGGGGGATGGCATTAATTAGAGATGTCAAGGCCACCGGCCAAACCAACCTAAACGCTTGAAAGATGAACCCAGAAAAGAATCAACGCGTGCAGTTGCAAACAGACTGAGTCGTGGCCCTTCAAATTGGCACAGCACGCGATACGACGCGATACATTGGACTCAAGGCGTCAAGAACTTCAAGAACTTCAAAAGCTCCGAGAGCTCACAAAGCCCATGGCCCACGGCCCACGGCCCATGGCCCATGGAGCCCATGGCCGTTTCTTCTTTCCTTTTGGCCGGGGCTCATGCGTGCATGCATGCGCTCTTCGATGAAGGCTAGCTTGGCCTTGGCCCCGCTGCTGACGCCCAGGCTGGCAGGCACCGTCGCCAGCAGCAAAAAGGCCACGAACTGCATTTCTCCTGGCCGAAGCCGGCTTCTCAGCAGGGAAGACGAACTGTTTTTTAGTGGTTTCGTTTGGGGGATCCCTTCCACCAAACCCCATGTCTTGATTTCCTCCCTCCCGCCCTCCCTCTGAGTCATTCTTTGAGCTAAGCTCCCCCCCCCCCTTAAAAAAAGAAAAAACACCTGCTGTGCACAGTCAAAGCTGCGCACGACACCGACTTGCGACGCGGCGAAGCGTCTCCTGAGATTGGTGAAGCAAAAGCCAACCGCGAAACTATCAGTCAGGTGCACGACCCGAACCCTTGAGCCAGGCGCGGGTGTGGCGATGCAGCCAAATGACGAGGCTGGATTACCCCCATCTCTGCCATTACAATTCACCAGCCGAAAATCAGGGAACCCCCAGGAATCCAGAAACCTTTGGGTGACGTCGGAACCCCTGTGACATTGCCATTGGTTGCCCGGACATGTTTGCATTTGCTAGCAGCTAGCTGCGCTCTGCTCACCTTCCCCTGCCGCAAACATCATCAAGAGCAACAAAGCCCGAAAAACATGCACCGTTTCCGGAGCCCTCACGTAATGTTGACCCTGGATTAATAAACCCCTGTTTATTAATATGGGGGTGTCCCTGGTTTGTAGTGGGAATCATCACTTTTGGAGGGGAACACCCCCATATTAATAAACAGGGGTTTATTAATCCGGGGTCAAAATTATCCCCAACTGCTTGCCTCCAATGAAACAGACCCGGAACGTGGACACTCCGCTCTGCATGCTGGGGGTCAAGGAGCTGAGCTCCCAACAGCCTCATGGCCCTAGGCGCCAAGTCGGGCGAGTGGGACCCAGTGCCGTTACCCAAGACTTGGCGATTACGCAAACCAAAGGGTCTTTGTTCCAAAAGCACCCCGCGACTTGCAGAAAAAGACGCCATGTCAAGCGTCCCAGCCCGCCACATCGCAAAGCTCAAGCCTTTAGCGGACATGAGGAGCCCGAACAGATCCGGAGACACTGGCGCATGCGAGGCCGCGATTGCCCCGCCTGGAGTCCATGGAACTCGTCAAACAGAAGACACCATTTGCCCCAAAAGGCAAATACCCCTTGAGGCTGGATGGCCGCGACACGGATGTGCCATGGCCGCGACATGGACCTTGGGGTTGGTTGGTCAAGAGTGGGGATCGCATATGGCGTCTGACTCTTGGCACCGCGAAACAGCACGTTTCGCATGTCTCAAGATGTGGTCCTCTCCCAAGACTAGGCCAATAAATTTCCGCTTCGCACCATCCGAGTGTCAAAATCCGACAGAAGGTGGATTTTGGCTTCTCTTGACATCCTGACAAGCGTGTGCAAAGGCCGGCCCCAAACTAATCCAATACTCTGAACCAGTGGGTACACCTCCCCCATCCGCCCCATCCCTTGCTTTACCCCGGCAACACTGCAACGGCGACCTCGTGGTCCACGAGACGCTCCAGTAGCATGTCAGACCGGTCCATGGAGTCCATGTCCAAGATGTCGATCCAAGCTGAGCCCCCTGTTCGAACCAGGAGGGGTAGTCAAAGCCGCACGCCGGGCAACATGAGGGACATGAGGTTCTGACTGGGGGCTTTTTAGCACAACTTTCTGCAAGGGAGTTGCTTTTGGTGGCTTGCATGTTTGGCACTGGGCCGTTGCCTTGGTGGCCTGACTGGTTCGAGCCGCACACGCCCCCCGTGAATATTTATTTTAGCCCCAAAAAACCCATGTGCAATCCCCTTGAAGGACGGCAAGTATTGATCGTTGCTCGCATCCCTACCGGCGATTTCAGCTCGGCACGATGCCTTTGGCACGCTGACTTTGGCAGGTCATGGAGAGGATCGGATCGAGCATTTGCAGGGCAATCTTCAACCGCAACGGGAAACGGGCCTTTGAAAGCCGAAGCTCAAGCTCCATGGGGTGTTCCCACAGCTGGTTGAAGAACAAGCTGTCACGCGATCGAAGCGCGACACCGTGGCAAAGGGACATGGCTCGAGGCAACCAGAAGGCACGTGGGTGTCACGTCGCTCACTGAGAACCCCTTGCCTGCCCCCAGTAGTGCGCAGTCAGGGTAGTCATGCCAGGACACGCCCTCCGCCAGGACCAGGACCACTCGCATGGTGCCTGGCCGTTCGACGTTTGCCCTGTTCATGGCCCACGCCACCCCCCAACGGATCTGCCTGTGAGCTCGGCCGGGGCGAAGAACCTCACGCGACCCAGACTTCCGCTCCGCAACTGCCACTACAAAATGAACCCAATTGGGTTGGACACGTTGATGGATGGGCGACGTCCCAAGTATCACTCTTTATCGTTTTGCAAAGGGGGTCGTGATGCGTCGTGCTTTTGTTCCAACAAGGGCCGACGCACTTCTAAACTTGTAAAGTCCAGTTACCCTCCCTTTCCATTCCAGCCCACTCGATATCCTCATCTCCTACCAAAATTTGCCCAACAAGTCCGCACTTTTGCTCACTACCATCACCCCACGCTTTCCAAGCGTTTGCCAACTGAAAGAAAGCCTGCACGGCGAGTCCAAGGCGTGCGCTGCTCCCAACCGTCCCAGGGCGTGTGGACGTTGAGGCAATGGAGGCCTCCAAATCAACCCCCCCCCCCCGGTTACGTGGGGGCTTGATGAATCATTCGGGCCCCTGGTAACTTATTCCCATGTGGGAAATCTCATACTAGTGGTTTTCCAATTCTAAATTTATTTTAAGTTGAGCTAATATAGCGAATTTTCCCTCCAATGTCATCCAATGTAAAGGGGAACCCCCCCCGAACTTGGCGGTGCGATGGAGGGAATGACCGAGTCAGGGTGCATGAGCCGGAAGAAAAGCTCTTTAATCAAGCCACAAGGGATGGCTTACAATTGTCATTCCCTCATTCCCGGCTGAGCAACGGCAAGGTAAGGTGGTTCCAAGCTTGGTTTCCGAAAAAAAAAAGAAGCGAAAAGAACAACAAAAAGGGGATCATGCCCATATGCTCCAAAACAGTGGCTTGTGGAACGTGACGCCGTGAAAGTGGATGGCACCACCTAGTAAGTACGCGTAAAAATGACGAAACCAACATTGGAAATTCAGCTACTTGCACCATCTTTCACCCGGCCGCAAATGTGCAAACAAAGCACGTTGACTGAGCTGACAGGCTTGTGGAAAATGCGCTTGACCAAACCGTTTGTAGATTCCTCTTGCCACCGGTCACCTTGAACCCACCCCCACCGCATTCAAACCGCCCACTAGGCCCCCCACAAATCAATGTGCAGGAGTGGCCGCTCACCTCGCAAACTCACAGCATCATAACACTCGTTCTGGAGTGCTTCATGGCGGGGAGGGCAATCGCGCCACACATTGCCGGGCCCACCGTATCCAACTTCTACCTTCCGAATGCTGGTCTCTGCCTGTTATTTGCTCGCCTTAGCCCATCTTGCCTGTGAGCAAACCCGCCCAGCCAACAGTTACTACGAAGTGCCTGATGTGAGTCACAATCAAAACCCGGTATTAAAATGGTCCACCCAGAACCATGCTTCAAGGACTAAGGCGGATATCCGCAGCTAATGGCTGGGATTGTCCTACTGATTGTGGCTCATGTCGCATCGGCATAGGCTCGCAAGGATCCGCGGCTCTCTTTCAACCGCCGGATCTGAAGCTCGGCGCCCGTGGGGCAATGAAGGGAACCGCCTGGCAAGGCCGCGGCCACAAAAAAAAAGGGCGGTACCCCGGGCTGAACCTGAGATGGGTCCCCACTTCTGAACAAAAATGGTCGCGACCTGAGCAGCTTGCTGCTAACCTATCACGCCGTGCGAATCGATCTTTTTGCGGACGAAAAGTCCAGCACGGGAGCTGCAAATCTTGCCCGGCTCCCTTGAAGGTCAGCCCCCACCCAACGGCTTTCCTTGTCGAAGTCCTCCAAGGCGTTCAAGGGCAAGCGCACCACCTGGCGATTCGCGATTCCCAGGGCTTTCTATGGACACTTTCTTTGGGTCCAATGGAAAATCCGATCTGCTTCAACCAAAAAGGTCAAAGTCCAAAGGTCCGTTACCAAGCCCATAGCCTCCACGTGCTTAAGTCCCCCGGGCAACACACATGTGACAGATTCCCTGTAGCAAAACTCCCCTGGCTACCTGGAAGACACCAGCCTCGATGCCTGACATGGACTTGTGCTCAAGGCCCGGCACGGGAAGCAAGGGATGATAGGACCTCAGTCGGAATGGCCCTTGTGGGTCTCGCCCTTGTGGGTCTCGCCCTTTTGGGTTCGTTTACAACCATCGAAAAGAAGCCTCACGGGGCTGTCTGATCGTGCATCTGGAGTAAGTTCCGGTCCCACTCTTCAGCAAAGGCTGGGATCTGCTTGTGCTGAGCCCATTTGCCGTTGCGTTGCTGGAAAGGCTAGCTGCTTGAGCTTAGCGAGAAGGACCCCGAAAACCCCTGCGAACCCTGGAACTTACATTATTGCGTCTCGGTCCCTTGAGTCTGTTGAGCTTTCAGGAGGCAAGGTCAGTTCACCAGGCAAGCAGCTCCCGCAAGTCTGTGGATTGGTCAGGGCGCCAAGGCCTCCTTTGAAACGATTGATTGGGGAAGCTGCCAGGTTTGGGCACTGGGCCCCCCCAACGTGCTTCCGATGATGCTCCCGCGGCAGTGGGCACAATCGCATGACTCCCAGTCATCGTCATCCCAGTCCTCATCCTCCTGGCACCGGTTCCAACGTCCGCACCAGGCGGCATGCAACACAGCGCTGCATGTGAACGCCCGAGAATACGAGTCAGCAGCGCAAGAAACCACATCTTGTTGCGACAAAACGGCTCATGGCTCATCTATGTCGAAAGAGGTTCTCAGCTGACCCAGTCCTCTTCCCACTCTTCCTCCTCCTCTTCTTCGTCATCAATCAAGCCCAGTGCAGAATTGATCTCTGCTTTCCTGAGTCCAGCTGAGAGGGCGCAAGGTTTCCCCCTGTGCACGCCACATACGGTGTGTTGCCCAACGTCGACTTACAGCCAATTAAGAACTGCCGCACTACGTGCGCCGTCCAAAACACACAGGACTCTCATGGATCGTTTCCTGCAGCTTCCCCTTTGCGGGATCTTTCACTCACAAACTCTTAAGCCATCTGCCAGCGCATCATATGAGTCATATGAGGTGTCCCGTCTGCAGCAAAGCGGCTTTGCAGCATCGACGTACCTGCCAAAGCAGACGCAAGGGAACGATGTGGGCACCACACACTGATCCGCAGAGTCACTGTCCGGCACCAAATGAGCGAGTGCGTGAGAAGCACTCTGGTAGCGATGACAAGAAAGCACGCGAAGCTTGCAGTGCGCCATGCTGGTTTTGCCTGCAACATCTGGGTGTTGTGCAACCAAAAGGCAGTGCTTTGCCTCCGGCGATTGTTTCTTGGATCGCACAGTTGCATTCTGATCCTGGAAGTCTGTGTTTACGGCGGATATGTATTTGTTTGACACCGGAAGTTTGCTTTGGACTCCATTTTGAACGAGACTGCAAATACATACGGGTGTACTGTGCTGCCATGCACTGAAGCTTGGAACCATGCCACGCGCCACACGGCTCTTTTCGGTTGCATCCGTGCCCTAGTTCTTGCATCCGTGCCAAACCGTCCCCCAACCCGTCCCAAACGAATGGCCTCTTGCTCGTCTTCAGCTGTGCAACGATGTCCTTGACGCAGCGGCTCTTCAGCTGCGGCTCTTCCACAAAGCTGTAGACCACGCCTCAAGCTGGGCTGTTGGGCGCCCCTAGGCGCAAAAAAAATCTACTGTTGTAGCACTGTAGCACTCCCACGACACACACACACAACACAAAGAACACACAGACACGAGCACACACACACACACGAGCACACACACACACATGAGCACACACACACACAGACACACAGACACACAGACACAGAGACACACAGACACACACAGAGACACACACAGAGACACACACAGAGACACACACAGAGAGACACACACACAGAGACACACACACAGAGACACACACACACACAGAGACACACACACACAGAGACACACACACAGAGACACACACACACAGAGACACACACACAGAGACACACACACAGAGACACACACACACACAGAGACACACACAGAGACACACACAGAGACACACACAGAGACACACACTCAGACACACAGAGACGCACACACAGACACACACACACACAGACACAGAGACACACAAACACACGAACACACACGAACACATACGCACAGACAGACACACAGGCACACACAGGCACACACGGACACGCACACACACACACACACACAACACACAAACACACACGCACAAACTCAAACACAAACGCACACTCACACGAACACACACACAAACAGAAACACACACACAAACACAAACACGCACACACAGACACACACACACACAGAGACACACAAACACATGGACACACACAAACACACACACACACACGGACACACACACACACACGAACACACACACACACACAAACACACACACACACGAACACACACACACAAACACACACACACACACGAGAACACACACACACACACACGAGAACACACACACACACACCAACACACACACACACAAACACACACACACACAAACACACACACACACACACGAACACACACACACACACGAACACACACACACACACACGAACGAACGAACGAACGAACGAACGAACGAACGAACGAACGAACGAACGAACGAACCCACACACACACACGCACGAACACACACACACACACGAACACACACACACACACACGAACACACACACACACACACGAACACACACACACACACGGACACAAACACACACACACACACACACGAACACACACATACACACAGGAACACACACAAACGCACACACACACACACGAACACACACACACACACACACACGAACGCGCACACAAACACACACACGAACACACACACACACGAACACACACACACACGAACGAACGAACGAACGAACGAACGAACGACTGAACGAACCCACACAAACACGCACGAACACATACACACACACACACCAACACACACACACACGAACACACACACACACACACACGAACACACACACACACACACACGAACACACACACACACACACGAACACACACGCACACACACACACACACGCACGAGCGAACGAACGCACGAACGAACGAACGAACAAACGAACGCACACACACACAAACACACACGAACGAACGAACGAACGAACGAACGAACGAACGAACGAACGAACGAACGAACGAACGAACGAACGAACCCACACACACACGAAGACACCCACACACACACGCACAAACACACACACACACATACACACACACACACAGACACACACACACGCACGAACACACACACACACATATACAGACACACACACACGAAGACACGCACACACACACACACGAACGAACGAACGAACGAACGAACCCACACACACACACGAAGACACAATCAAACACACGCACAAACACACACACACGAACACACACACACACACACACACGAACGAACGAACGAACGAACAAACGAACGAACGAACGAACCCACACACACACGAACACACACACACACACACGAACACACACACACACACGAACACACACACACACACGAACGAACGAACGAACAAACGAACGAATGAACGAACCCACACACACACAAACAAAGACACAAACACACACACACACACACACGCACAAACACACACACACACACGAACACACCCACACACGAACACACACACACACACACACAAACACACGAACGAACGAACAAACGAACGAACGAACGAACGAACCCGCACACACACACACACGAAGACACAAACACACACACACACACACACGAACACACACACACACACACACGAACGAACGAACGAACGAACGAACGAACGAACGAACGAACGAACGAACGAACGAACCCACACACACACACGAAGACACAAACACACACACGCACAAACACACACACACACACACACCCACCCACCCACCCACGCACGCACGCACGCACGCACACGAACACACACACGAACGAACGAACGAGCGAACGAACGTACGAACGAACACACCCACACACACAGACACGAAGACACAAACACACACACGCAGAAACACACAGACACACACGAACACACACACACACACACAAACGAACGAACGAACGAACGAACGAACGAACGAACGAACGAACGAACGAACGAACGAACGAACCCACACACACACACGCACGAACACGCACACACACACACACACGAACGAACGAACGCACGAACGAACGAACGAACAAACAAACGCACACACACACACAAACACACACGAACGAACGAACGAACGAACGAACGAACGAACGAACGAACGAACGAACGAAGAACACACAAGAAATAAACACACACACACGCACAAACACACACACACACACACAAACACACACACACACGAACACACACACACAAACACACACACACACGAACACACACACACACGAGAACACACACACACGAGAACACACACACACACACCAACACACACACACGAACACACACACACACACGAACACACACACACACACGAACACACACACACAAACACACACACACACACAAACACACACACACACACACGAACACACACACACACACACGAACACACACACACACGAACACACACACACACACACACGAACACACACACACACACGAACACACACGAACGAACGAACGAACGAACGAACGAACGAACGAACGAACGAACGAACGAACGAACGAACGAACGAACGAACCCACACACACACACGCACGAACACACACACACACACGAACACACACACACACACACGAACACACACACACACACGAACACACACACACGACCACACACACACACGAACACACACACACACACACGAACACACACATACACACAGGAACACACACACAAACGCACACACACACACACACGAACACACACACACACACACACACACGAACGCGCACACAAACACACACACGAACACACACACACACACGAACACACACACACACACGAACGAACGAACGAACGAACGAACGAACGAACGACTGAACGAACCCACACAAACACGCACGAACACATACACACACACACACACAGCAACACACACACACGAACACACACACACACACGAACACACACACACACACACACACACGAACACACACACACACACACACACGAACACACACGCACACACACACACACGAACGAACGAACGCACGAACGAACGAACGAACAAACGAACGCACACACACACACAAACACACACGAACGAACGAACGAACGAACGAACGAACGAACGAACGAACGAACGAACGAACGAACGAACGAACGAACCCACACACACACGAAGACACACACACACACACACACACGCACAAACACACACACACATACACACACACACACGCACGAACACACACACACACACACACATATACAGACACACACACACGAAGACACGCACACACACACGAACGAACGAACGAACGAACGAACCCACACACACACGAAGACACAGACAAACACACGCACAAACACACACACACACACACGAACACACACACACACACACACGAACGAACGAACGAACGAACAAACGAACGAACGAACGAACCCACACACACACACGAACACACACACACACAAACACGAACACACACACACACACACGAACACACACACACACACGAACGAACGAACGAACAAACGAACGAATGAACGAACCCACACACACACAAACGAAGACACAAACACACACACACACACACACACACACACACGCACACACACACACACACACGAACACACACACACACACAAACACACGAACGAACGAACAAACGAACGAACGAACGAACGAACCCGCACACACACACACGAAGACACAAACACACACACACACACACGAACACACACACACACACACGAACGAACGAACGAACGAACGAACGAACGAACGAACGAACGAACGAACGAACGAACCCACACACACACACACGAAGACACAAACACACACACGCACAAACACACACACACACACCCACCCACCCACGCACGCACGCACGCACGCACGCACACGAACACACACACGAACGAACGAACGAGCGAACGAACGTACGAACGAACACACCCACACACACACACACACGAAGACACAAACACACACACGCACAAACACACAGACACACACGAACACACACACACACACACAAACGAACGAACGAACGAACGAACGAAGAACACACAAGAAATAAACACACACACACACACACGCACAAACACACACACACACACACCCACACACCCACACACCCACACACGCACACGCACACGCACACGCACGCACGCACGCACGCACGCACGCACGCACGCACGCACGCACGCACGCACGCACAAACACACAAACACACAAACACACAAACACACAAACACACACGAACGAACGAACGGACGGACGAACGAACGAACGAACGCACACACACACACACACAAACGAAGGAACGAACGAACGAACGAACCCACACACACACACACTCACACACACACACGAACACACACGAACACACACACACACACACGAACGAACGAACGAACAAACGAACGAAAGAACGAACGAACGAACCCACACACACACACGAAGACACCAACACACACACACACACACACGCACAAACACACACACACACACGAACGAACGAACGAACGAACGAACCCACACACACACGAAG